GTAGTATGTAGTAGTAGTAGCAGTAGCAGTAGCAGTAGTAGTAGTAGTAGTAGTAGTAGTAGCAGGAGTAGTAGTAGTAGTAGTAGTAGTAGTAGTAGTTAGTAGTGTAGTTGTAGTAGTAGTAGTAGTAGTAGAAGTAGACGTAGTAGTAGTAGTAGTATAGTAGTAGTAGTAGTAGTAGTAGTAGGAGTAGTAGTAGTAGTAGTAGAGTAGTAGTAGTAGTAGTAGTAGTAGCAGTAGTAGTGGCAGTAGTGGTAGTAGAAGTATAAGTAGAAGTAGTAGTAGTAGTAGTAGTAGTAGTAGTAGTAAAAGAAAAGAGAAGTAAGAGAAGAAGTAAGAGTAGTAGTAGTAGTAGTGGTAGTGGTAGTGGTAGTGGTAGTGGTAGTGGTAGTGGTAGTACTAGTAGTAGTAGTAGTAGTAGTAGCAGTAGTAGCAGTAGTAGCAGTAGTTGGAGTAGAAGGAGTAGTCATAGGGGTAAGAGTAGGAGTAGGGTTAGCAGGCAGTAGCACTAGCAGTAGCAGCCGCCGTCGTCGTCGTCGCAGTCGTCGTTGTCGTAGTCGTAGAAGTAGTAGCAATAGCATAGTGTGGCAGTAGCAGCAGTAGTAGGAGGAGGAGTAATGGTAGTGGTAGTGGTATTGGCAACGGTCACAATAGCGGCAGCGGTACTCGCAGTAGTCTTGGTAGTAGTGTTTAAGCGGCGAAGGGAAGGGCTGAAATCGTGAGAAGGCAAGATCACAGCTTGGAAATCAGACGAATCATACACTGCTCATCTTGCAAGAAAAGTACTGCTCCTCACACACGTTGGATACCAGGGTGCATTCGCTGCAAGACCAAGATCAATGTCATGCGATGGCACAATGTGAATACAGGGCAGTCCTTGTTGGCCAGCATCGATTGCACAAGCGTTGCGTGGTCATTCTGCGCACTGTCGATTGCCTTGCGCGCTGAGCATCGGTCATTCAACCATGCGAGCATGCTTACACGAAAATGAAAACAGTGCAACCAGCAGAAAAGTACCACTGCAGAGCCACGATTCGGACTGACAAAAAACGCCGGTTACGACATTCAGCACAGCAAAATACCTCAGTGGTTCTAGGGAGGCTCTGCTGAGAAATCGTTGCAGTGTCGAACCGATTGCGCAACTGCTCCGAGATAAAGCCAACTGCTGTGCAGATACGTGAACGCCACGTAGAAGAGAAACAGCAGAACCCAGGCGCTGGAAATCGCTCGCAATGGAGCCAAGATGTCTTCCCAGCTCACACCGTTGGCGATTGCCATGAACAAGCTGAGCATTGTGTCCGGCAGCGAACCTCGCAGGCGAGTCTAGTGACAGTCCGGTACAGTTTACGGAAAGACGTATCGCGACGTGTCGCCTAAACCAAGATTTATGGGGCCGGGTCCGAGTCAGCAAAAAGAGTCAAAAACCATCAGGGGCAGAATCAGCAAGCAGGCCGGATGCAAGTCATCAACAGCACAGTCAGCAAACCCCAGAGCATCCCAGAGCTACTATCCGAGATGCCCCAGCCCGAAACGGCAAACACCAATGGACCAAGGAAGTGCCATGCGAAGGCATCACATCTATTGCAACGACATGCTCCTGGAAATGCAACGTAAACTTAAACTTGCCCGACATTTCACCGTCATTACCGTCCAATTATGTCAATCCATCTCTGGAGAGTACAGACAGTAATCTAAACTACAGTAGCGTACAGCTTTTTGTGGGTGCAAGAGGAGGTACTGCGTGGTCGTTTTTGTTTCCTGTTTGCCACATCCAGCTTGCGGTTTACTGATTGGAGCTTCCTGGTTTTCGACTTCCCCGGCTGCTTGCTTTTGACTCGAGGCCGCCCCTGCTGTTTACTGACTCGATTTGCAAACAATCGCCCGGATTCGCTGACACAAGCTACTCTGAAAATTTATGACAGCCCTGACTCAGTCCACCGGCAGCTCCACAGAGCCCTGCACTGGCTCTGTTTCCTGTACAAGCCCCTATCAGGTGAGCTATTGTGCGAGTTTGATGGACAATGCTGATTCCCACAGAAAAAAGCAAAACCACAGTTTGCCACCGTACACTCGCGTATACGCCGCATTCCAAAGCTCCAAACCTTCTCTTGTGCAGAGTTGCCAAAATACTTCGCCGAGAACTCCAAGTTGGCCGCGGACATTGAGGTTGCCTGCCGAAGCATCCAATTAACTGATTTATTCGTGGTATGCACACCTATTGGTCACTCTTTATGCCTGTACATATCAACGAAACTTGTGCATGTGCCTATAAACAGCTGTTAACCTACACTCACTGGCGAGCCTCCGGATCGTAAATGTGAGCATTCACAGCCTGCGTGAACAAGACCTGAGCGCGCGACATTGCATGCTGATTCCCGTGCCCGTGCCAGAACGAAACGTCGTCAGATTGCTCTGGCCGTTTTCATGTCGGAAAGCCGGCTTAGACCAATACCCTGCGATGTGTAGCCATCAGGCTGCCGACGTTTACTAGAAAAAGCACGAGCCCCATTGGGCAACTCCACCATCACAGACTGAAATACCCAGAAGACCCCAAGAACATCGCCACTGCAATGTCTTAGGATATTGAAGTTGTACACAGCCACGAGCACGGCTCAACAGCAGAAGCAGCGATGTTGCTACAGCGGCAGCAAGCTCGTGCGTCAAGGCTAGGTCGTAGAGATGCTGAGGTTTTCCGTTCTGCTAGTTCTGCGAACGTTCATAAATAGACGAGAATGCTTCACATTCGCGTGCATACCTTCTATCTTCGTGTTTGTCCTGATTCCCAAGACATGCTGCTGGGGATTTGCCAGCAACGACTAGCAACAGCAGTAGTCGCGGATTGGCAGCAGCAGCAGCCGCAGCAGAAAAGCAGCAGTAGAAAAGCGGCACTGGGAGCGGCAGCGGAAGGGAAGAGGTCTCGGGGGGGTCTGAGTCCCCGGCCTGCCATCCGAAGACAAAGCTCATCATGCACACAATTTAGGATGGTTAGAACTGCGCGCACGAGCTTGAAGCTATTCTGTGATACTAGGCCAACAGGAGCCAACAGCGGCGGAAACAACAGCAACAACGGCGTAGCTGTAGCTTTAAAGGCTGCGATAGCAATAAGGCGAGTAACGCTCTGAGGGGCGTGGGGTAGGCGGGAGAGGAGGGGGGGGGGGGGGGGGGGAAACTGTGAACTGAATGCGTCACTGCCCAAAACCACAGAGATGTATAGTATAGATTTATGCATCTGTTGGGAGGGGAGGGACTCGCACCCGTGACCAGTCACCCTGTAAAGATTGGTTTTTCGTTGAGGATGGGGTTCCAGGCCTCCGACGATGCTAAGTCCTTGTTCTAGTAAACTAACCCCCCACTCAATCTAAGTCCTGACAGGGCTCGCTTTCGTGACTGTCGTCTCGCCAGTGTGGTTTCTTGGTACACTTTGCCCCTTTCGACCGGTTGAGAGCCGCAAAACAAAACAATAATACTGTGGCTGTTGACAGCACGGGACCATTGCCGCGAGTTAGCTGGGTGTGTCTCCAAAGTAGGCGAAGACGCTACTGCAAACTCCTGGCGGGTAGCAGTTTGTGAAACTGTAGCGAAAGGACAGGAGTTGATGCTTGTGGGACTGCGCTGACTGCTCCAAGTCCAGGTGCTTGGATGCATGGCCTGCCGTGCTTGGCGTGGCATGGCGTGGCTTGCAAGCGAGGTGCCGCAAACACGTACACGATGAGGAGCAACAAAATCAGCGCCCAGAACAGCGCCTTCATTGAAGCCACTGAGCTCTCATCTGCCAGTTGCAGCATGCAGTGGATCCAGAGATCCAGTATCCGGTCTGTGCATCTCAGTTCATGTCAGGCCTATCCCGTTCGACTGGCACCTCTCACTGCCCAAGTGCCTTCAAGGTGTGAATGATGGAGGAGATCAGCGTTCGGAAGGCCATCACGAACCGGAAGACGCGCATCAGTTGTATCTGGGTGAAGTTGCGTTGCAGTACAGAATGAGGTCCGCAGGGTGCCCTTTTAAGTGACAAGGGTTGAAGGTCGAGCCGGTTCTGTGCCTTGATGTTGGGGAGACTCGAATTCGGGAGAGAAAGAAGCCTCTGAGCATTCCGCATCAGCTCCTGTGGACCTAGTCGGATAGAAAAGTGGGAAAGACAAGGCACTGTCTTCACGATCCGCGTTATGCGTATGATCCGGAAGACCTTCAAGCTGGAGATCCCAGCGATCTTTTCCATATTGCCGTTCACAGCTTCGAGGGCTGTCACAATGTCCACCATGATCTCCCAAAGGGATGTCGCCTCAAGTGCACACATCACGCAAGGACCTGTCACTCTACCGATACCTTCACTAAACTGGACTGGACCAAAAATTGGATATTAATATGCCATTCGTCCAGGATTCCACAATGAACACGTCCAGCAGGCTCCACATCCAGTCCTCCAGGCAGAACAGCCGCACGCCATTAGCCACAAAGCGCAAAGCCAACTCGATGGTGAAGAGAGCAGTGAAGCAGTACTGCATCACCTGGATTTGCATCGGCCGAATTTCCATGGAGCCGATGCTCATCTGCACGTCCACGCCAATGAAAACAGCATTCAGCAGCACCACTGTTGCAAAGAACCAATCAAAGAGGGGATGGCCGACAAGCCACTGCCAGCAGTTCTCCGGGCTTTTCATGTGCTCCAGGCTTGTTCCCTTGCAGCTGGCGAAGCGCTTCCTGGAGTTGATCCCCTGTGCGTGGTCGGCACTTTCCCGGAGCTTTAAGTCCGCCTGCGAGAACCTCCGGACTGGGGCGCGACTCGGTTTGAGGCAGTCCCATGAAAGAAAACCACAAAATCAGAGGTACATAGGTGCTGAGAGCTGGTGTCAAAACTGCGCCGAGATACGTGGTGAACAGCTTGGGTGTGAAGGTGCTTCGAGGGGTAAACGAAAGCCGGGAGCTGCGTTCCGAGAACTGCACACTCGGACGTTTGTGGAAAGCCTCAGTGATGTGACGGGTGAGTCGGATGCCTTCCCGATGGATTGCAACTCGCTACGGCCAAGGTGGACGTGATGCTGCGGCAAGTCCATGCGAAAACTTACCGAAACATGCTCGGGTACTTAGGCAGAAGTTATGAACTCTGCTTGGCCCAGCTGCGTGCTCCGTTGGATGGTGGGGCTCGTCTTCATCGTGCTCGTCTGGCAGCAAGTCGGCACTCGTCACTTTGGTCGGCAAGGGCATCACCCAGCCCGCTTCATCTGAGTGGTTCGACATGCCTCTGCTGTCCGAACGGCCACTTCAGCAGCAGAAGCAGCAGCAGCAACAGCGGCACACGCACGGCCTTTTTTGATTTTTCCCTGCACTAGCTCACTAGCTACCGACATACATCACAGCCAAGGGCAAGGGCCGGAAGGCAGGACAACCGTTTCAGCCGAAGTCTTGGTTACGCTTGTAGAAAGTCCAAACTGAGCTGTGACTGACACAAGCGACCTGTGAACAACCGGCAAACCAAGCTGCGCTCCATATCCAGAGTCTGTTGAGAAGATACTCGGGAAGGGCTCCTGCGGTTCAACCGCTGCTAGCAGTGGGGTCCCAGAACAAACCAACACCATAATAGTTCGGACATGCTTATATCACTAGACCCGTTAACCACAAGTCAGCTGAGAGTCTGCAGGCCAGATTTCTGCTCACGGCTGTCACGCACACACCTCGGGATGAGGGAAAAGGCTGAGGACTGGCTGAGGGTACTTGGCCAGTCCAGCATGGAACAAGGTCGTTTTTCGAGTCACGCCATGGCACTTCAACAGGATCTGGCTCAAGACGTCATCCTGAACCTCAAGTTTTCGGATGAGCTCCTCCCGGGGCAAATGCCGACATCAAGGTTAAGTTCACAACCATTGAGAGAATGCTTCGTCACATTGTACATCCTGTTGCTATGGCGTTTCGACACTGCGGGTCCCGATGATGCTGTGCCAAAAGTGCTGGTAACTGGCCATCTTGGCTGGGGCGAGATCGTGGGCTGTCCTGCGGCGGGCATAGAAGGCCTACTTATGAGTCCTGACTGCAAAGACCACATTCTTTGTGCAACGCTCATGTGGAGATGTCGTTCGGCCTGCGCGAACTGGACCCGAACCGCGCTGCGTGGAGAACAGATGGGCTCCTGCATCTGAGGCTCGGTCTACACTGATCATCTTACCCGCCTGAGCATGAACTCCAATGAACTCGAAACTGATGCGGATTCGTGTATAACAGGCTATACGGCCACATACCCACTCGGCCTTTGCACATGAACTCCGACGGTCCTCATCCTCCGGGTGCGGGATCTCCACGTGCTTGGCTAGCGCGGCCATGGTCGAAGCAAGAGCATTCACGTCCCTGAGGATAGTCACACTTGCTAAGCCGTCGCCCAAAGCTACGCTTGAGGGCACGCGTCGCAGGCTGCTTGATGTGCAGAAGCTGCAGTATCTAAGCGATCAACCTTCAACAAGCTGATGGATCGTCCTTCAGAGATGCTCGTACGTGCTGAGTTTGACATGGATGCTCAGCAGAGGATGTTACGAAACAAAGGAGTCCAACTCACATGTTTGAGCCGGCGTGGGCTATCGCCTGGTGTCCGTGCATGTGAACCCATGTGATGACAAGTTGTTAGGATCAAGGGCTGCCGGCATCTGCCTGCGCAGCTGGAGACGAGAAAGTATCAAGCATTGCCCTGATGAAGACATGATCGGCTCATGGAGCTCGGTGCCGTGCGATACACGACTGCCACGGTTGCCACGGCTAGCTGACAGCAGCCTTGCTTTCGATCCAGGACAAACTGCGCAATTGAAGATGTTGCGCATGTAACAAACACACAGGCAAAACTAGGAAACAGCACTGTGACAACATGAACTTTGCCAGCACATGGCACGTGGCACAATGCGTTCTGCTGCTTCAGCTTCATGCTACAACATGACTGTGCGTATTTTGAGGGGCAGGGCAGAGTATCCTGAATATGCGACAGCAAAATGTCAGCCCAGTCAGAGCTTGCCAAAGACCCTTCCAGATACCGCATAACCGTATAATTAATAGACCCTGTAACAACCGTACGAAGACAGTGCGTGATAAGAAACAATAAGTTAAACGAAGCAACGAGTCGCGCACACACACACACACTTCCAAAAAAGAAAAAGAGGCCCAGCAAGCTGGCTGCAAGGACCGGAAGAGAGAACTGCTTAGTACTAGTGCCAAGCGTTCAAGCCAGTTCAAGCCTTGAAGCTGCAACCTGAACTTGAGAGATGGCTGCACACGGCTGGGTCTCAAGCGTCGGCGCAGCCGCCATAATGGGACCGGAGGGCGCTGGTTGCACAAGACTCATCTCGAGGCTAATTGTCAAGAGGCTTCTTGACCACAGATTCGCCAAGTGGCCATAACGGGCAAATGGGTTGTGGTTTGGGCTGAACACAAGTAGAACGGCTCAATCATGGAGGCGAAGCCTTGAGAGCCATGGCACAGACTAGTTCAAGAAGAGGTGGCAGGATCCGGATGTAGTCTGGTTTGCTCGGCTCGGCCAATATAACAACTGTATCCTGTGCGAAGCGCAAACAGCTTCCGTATCGACTGTACACTGCACAGTCTTGCCTTGAGCTGGGCATCTTGTTCCACGAAATCAGCAGCTTGGAACAAGCTCTTGACCTAGCAGCGGCTTAGCTCGCTCTGCAATGGTGCAAGATGCAGCACATCTAAGAATCTAAGACTGCATGAAGGTGCAATGGTCCCACTAGACAGCTGAGCTTCATCAAACATACGAGCAGCGCATGCCAGTGCCACAGAACGCTCACAGAACGCGCACTGCCTCACACAGCAGCAAGAGCAAGGTCAAGGCCTCCTCGGCTGAAGCGTCCGAGGCGCCTGCACAGTGAAAGCTGGCAGCACACCTTCCTCGTTGAGACAGAACCATCTGGCCAACCCGTGCGAGAACCTACGGTCGAGGAGTGAGGTGCAGGATGTATCCTGCCGTTCACAGAACTGTCGCTGAAGCCTGCACAGCACCCTTCTCTCCGACCCCTCCCTCCATACGGCCTCCCTCCACCTGGCTCCGTGCGGCGTGGTGCAGAGCAGCGGCAGCTTGGCCGCTGGCGCTGACCACCTGGTGTGGGAGCTCGAATGGACGGTGGTGGCGTTGCTCAAATCATCTCTGGCGACTCTATCGGAGGAGCCAAAAACATAGCACAGGCTCGATACTTTTGCAGAGGCCTCTTGCAGCAATTCCAACAGAGGCTCGACGTCCTGGTGCAGCCGCACACATGTCTGCTGTCTCAGCCTCTTTCGGCTCAAGCCCTGTGCCTCGGCCGCAATTCGATGCCGCTCATGCTCAGAGAGTCCTGTCCGTGAGTGCGCCGGATGCAGCCAAGGACGAGCCCCCTTATGCTTCGTGAAGCAGAAGCCAAAAGCCACAAGCATTCCCAAAAGCATTCTCAAGCTGCAATTCCCAGGCATCGGCGGGGCCTGGCCTGGGGCATCACGTTTCCCGAAGGCCACGAGGAGTTCCTGCAGCGAAGCTTTGGCCATAGGCCAACCCCCCCCCCCCGAATCTGACAGAAACAGCTGTGGTGACACCCCTGCAGCCAGAAACGGGCGGGGAGCCTCCAACAAGGCTAAACCACGAGAGTCAGAGCGCTTTGCCTGGTCACATCCACGAAAGGGCGGACGGCTACAGCACGCAAAGCTTGGAATTGCTTCTGCCCTTCCAGCGGTTGACAACAAAGCTGTCTCGACTCGAGGGACTACTGCATTCGTTGGTGCAATCTGAGAAACTGATTACCACGAATTTCAGGCCAGGCCATGCATGCCTCTTCAAGTAGTGCCGCGGTGCCACGCAGCCGGCTTTCGAACGCCATGGCACTTAAAGGGGAGATGCTATGTTGGAGCAGATGCCCAGGACCTTGCATCCAACAGTCAACCCAACAGGCTCTGGTTAACCAAAGTAGTAAACTGAAACGTGCCACTGTGGATCGCAGACTAGCCCGTTGTCTTGTGTTCTGGAGCTGTAAGAAGTAAGAAGCTAGTGCACTCGACTGAAAGCGGTAACGACGAGGCAGGGACCCGGCACCCAACTCCCGAGCCTGGCTACTTCAGAGCACCTGGGCACCAAGCTGTCTCTGCGGCCCTCGTAATCTCAATTGGCGCAGAGCCTGGCAGCAGATCGCACACAGCATCTGTGAAGTGCATGACACCTTTGAGAGTATGTCATGACCATGTGCGCCATTCCATCGGGCCCAGCATCAACAGGCAATGAAACGAAAGAAACAGCACGCTGAGGCATGAATAAAGGAGGGGAAGTCAAATTAAGCGAAAGCTCGGGTAGCATCCTTGCGGCTTATGGCGGAACCCGGTGAAAAGAGAGAACTAGTCTTGGAAGGTCTGCCGTCCCTGACTCGTCATTCACTGGCACGGACGCAGCGCCAGCATGTTTGCACGTTGATTTGAATCAAGACTGAGTTCAGCGTTCGGGTCCCTCCTTGCTGGGAGCCGCCCACGCGACGCCGTGCCGCGAGAAGAAGCTGCGCCTTGGGATCCGGGGCCCCACAAAAGGAGAGAGACTTCAGAGAAGCAGCGGCCGCCGCAGGTGGCAGCAGGGCCCCGGCGGTGCCGCGGAGGGTTCGACCGGCGGAGCCACGGGCCAGAAAAAGAGGACCTCGGCTCGGGTAGGAAAGGTTAAAAAAGCTTTCTCAGAGCATGTCCCCCATATTAGAGACTGAGAAGTGTGTGGTGACACGGGCCCCGCAAAAACATCCTGCAGAGAGAGGGTTCAGTCAGTTCAGTCCGCCAGTCCAGTGGTACGATTCATATTTGCTGTCATAGACGCATAGAGCGGGTCTCTGCAACTGCCCGTCAGATAAGGACACAGGTGTCACGAGAAAACTGTACTCTGAGGCAACGTGGACGTCTTGCCTTCATGCCTTGGACCCCTGCAATGCCGACAATAAAACAGCACATCGACGCCAGCAGGACGAAGGTCACAGCCTCAGCCAGCAGGCTTGCACACACGCCCGGCTGCGCATGCGCCTTCAGGACTGGAAGGTGGACAACTCGATTAGTCACTAGTCCTGCGGGCGTTCTCACACAACGGTCTAAGCTGGCAGGTACATGCTTGTCAGACATTGCGCTACTGCAGTGTCCACGACATCGACGGCATATCCAAGCTCCGCGCTTTCCCGCGCATTCGTGCTTGAGCGAAGTAAGCGCTGAAGCCAAAGCCTGCTTGGCAAGCGCCCTTACCAAGGGTTGCACTGGACCTTTCAAGCCGATGTCTACCTACTGGATCCTACTGACGCATGGCATGGAAGAAGCAATGACTTGACAGATGAAGCAAAAGGCTCTAACAGAAGGTGATGTTTGCTAAACTGGCTTCCGGGTCTTTGCATGCAGCTTGCCATTTTTTGCCGCTCCAGTAGCCGAGTCCAAAGCTAGAATCGGTTGGGCAGCCACTTGTTCCAGAGTCTTGGCTCATAAGGCTCAAACTGCAGTGCTGGACTACGCGGCTGCCCAGAGGAGCAAGGCCCCCAAGGTCGTTCGACCGATAGGATCCGACAGGCGCACAAGGGGCGCCTCTCCCATCGGAACGCCCTCCAAACAACCATACTCAGGATGACCGCCTTAATTGCTTCGAAATTCTTTGGATCAGATTTTCTGCCTGTTGGGAGCTGCACGCCTGCAGGCCCAAATAGAGGGAATTGGGACTGTAGCGCCAGGCAACCACATGATGAGCATTAGATGCTCTAAGTGCGCCAGAGCACTGCCGACCCAACACTGCAGGCAAGCACAAGAGAGCATGGGTGGCATGACCAGTGCACTACACAGGCCATGTGGGTGAAAACTGTCGACTTCGGACATTTCCAGCTCGAGTGGTGCAGTACTTGTTAAGAGTCGTACGTGCGAAACCGCAAGGCTAATGTCCGATGGCTCCGCTGGTGAAGAACCCATCAGTCGACCGCGGACGCGTGTGAAGGCCTTCACAAGCTCAACTTCTAGGTTCTTGGCCGGCATCGGGAGTCTCGTTGTACAAGGACTCATGTGCTGCAGGCTAGAAAGCATTCCAGGGAGTGCACAACTGGAGCCGCTAGACAAAACTTCCCTCAGCTTGTCACCACTGCGGTTCGGCCTTAAAAGCCTGGAGGAGCATGGTCCTGCAGGGAGTGCATGCCCGGGCTTGCGGCTTGGACATCTCGGACTCCGGTTGTCACTTGCTCTGGCACTCAGAAAAGCAATGGGATCCCTTTTCCTGAACCAGAGTCCGAGCGCACTCCGGATGTGCAATTAAGATGGTGCATGTGTGGCAAGGAAGGGTTCACACAACTTCACTCTGGCAAAAAACCTGGCAGCACTTTCAAGCCCTCATGCCGGGAGCCTCCGTGAAACTGATGCGCGTTGGTGGTACCCTTGCCTGGACGTCTCATGCTTACCAGAGTGACCACAGCTCGCAGGTGGTCGCACATGGCGAACGCGAGCACTAAGGAGGCAAACGGTGGATATTTCTGCATCATAGATAGGTAGATAGCTAGATGGTTAGACAGGTCAATAGGTAGACTGGCAGATAGGTATATAGACAGACAGCTAGATAGATAGAGAGACAGATAGATCGAAAGAAAAGCAGAAAGTTAGACAGGCAGATGGCCGGATGCATAAATGGATGGATAGATGGAAAGATCAATAGGTTAGCTGACTGGCGTGCCGCGCTTGGGGCTTAAGGAAGACTCCATCGAAGCTTGCCGCTTACCACTGAAAACCCATGAGTTTCCAGCTTCCGGTTTTTCGATTGGCACTGCAACTCTGAAGGTGAACAGGGCAGCTTGCGCGAAGCCGAAGACTGAGTTCTGCTCCGGAGGTGGAGGAGGAGGTGGTGGAGCTTTCCAGAAACCTGCGACTTTGCAACGTTGCTCTCTTCATCTCTTAAGCATGACTTACAAGTTAGGGTGATACTGTATGTATAAGTTGCTCATCCATAAGTCCCGCGATGCTTGCTCGGGTTACCCACTTGAAATGGGATGACCTGCATTCCAACAACCGCTCGCCGATTCACTTTCTGCGGCAAGTACATCAACATGAGTCTGAGTCCATCCCAATCTCTTGTTCTGCCTCTAACCGTCTGTAAGTGGAATTCCTGCGCCTCTCGGGTAGATCAAAAGCATGTTTTGCCAACAACGGCAGACGTCCACAAGCGAAAGGAGTATCTAGGCGGTGGTGAAGCCAGTGTGTTGCACCCTCCTCTCTCCCAACTCCTGCCAAACACCGAAGAGCACTCAAGTCCTCTTGTGATTGCTTGTCTTGTGAAACCTTCGCATGGCATGCCCGGTGCTGAAATCCGCGCAACTTTTCAAGCTGCGCAGCTGCGCGGTCGAGGGAAGCACCCCTCAGATCTTCACTCGACGGCCAGAGCTTCCAGACGCGCGCGTCACGTGCCTGTGGACTCTGTCGACGCCCCATCGGACATCATCGGACCGAGTGCGCATTCGTGGCGACATCGACCGACCTCCACGCACGGCTTCCGCTGCCGGAGAGCATCCAAGCCATCTTCTTGCTGGCGGCTGCCAGTATACTTGTGGGCACCGGCTGCATCATCGACTCGGAGCTTGCATGATGTCGCGTGAGTAGGCACAGACATCACCTCTCGACTTCACACCAGTTTGGATATGCACGAGTTCTCCGAGTTCCAGCGATCTTGTTCTCTGTATCCGACTACCAGATCCTGTGCGAACTTGGAGTACAGCACTGACCATAGCCGAACTTTTCAAAGAGGAACGGGTCCGCAGCGCGCACGATTCGTGTCATAGCAGGATCCTGGAAGTGCTCTGCACCTCAGTTTCGAGGTGACGGGAAGATTGTGGCCCATGGCCTCATATCTCATTGTAGTTCACGACGGCATACTGCGAGCTACGACAGAGCAGGTCACAGGGCTTGTGTCGGCGGATCTGCAGCGACGGTGCCGCCCACCGTGCAACGCTCCAGGCACGATCGAAGAAAAGTCCCTGAGTTCAGAGCGGCTCCAAAGGACAATTCCGGATGGAGCACCTTCAACCCATCTTGCGCTAGAGCTGCGTGCCTCCCCGCTTTTGTTTGCAGCAGCTGAGTTGAACAAATCCCAATCGATCGCACCCGGAAGGATCAGCTGCTCCTTGGGAAGCGTGCGTTTAATCAGCCACTCTGTAACTAAGACAGCTGTGAGAAATAAACAGCAAGTCTCGGCGAAGGGCTGCTTTGGAGAACACATTAGAGAGAATGGAGAATCAAGACAGCATGTTCAAGACATGGGTCGTAAGCAAGTAAGCACTCCCGCAGGTCATCCATCAACGTCTCCTGAAAGATCCAGCAGTGCCTGGGCGCTAGTTGCAACGGAGAAACTTGAACAGCTGTCAGCAGACAGGAGACGTGCTTTGTGCTAGAGCCATCTGCTCCGTTCTGTGCTGAAGAAGGTACAAACACATGCTGACGCTTGCGAATACCAAGCACGCAAGCACGTAGCGGTAATCTCGCTTCAAGTCTACACATTTGTCCGGTACCCTTCAAACTAGGTCGCTCCCACATGTTTCAATGTGCTAGGCCAGAAAACTCGGCATCCCTGATCGCAGAGATGGGCACCCCCGTCTTATCAAAGTATTCTTGAGATTCCACGCAACGTGGGCAGGTGCGCTGAAATACAAGTGCATAGGGATCACAAGCGAAGGCCACAACCGTGACAACTTCTGCCGAGGTTCGCTAGCTTTCGCGGGTCAGCGGCCGCAAGGTCTTGTCGGATACGATCCTCGGATTCAGCCAAGCCGAGGATTGAAAGCCGAAGATGCTGGCTACTCTTCGATCTGCTCTCCATGCTTCCCCACTTGACATCTTGGTTCCTATGGTACTGCACATGCACGCTGAACAACTGCAATGCGCCATGCCTGACGTTGCCCCTTCCACGAGATGATCCCTCTGTAGTCTGGTCGATGCCAGGCCGCAGTGCTGTTGCACCTCTCTGGTGTTGCCCCTTCATACGTTTTCTTGCCCTCCGCTAGCCTCTGGTGCCACAAGTGGCATACCGGCGCGATTCTTAGTTGCTGCGATGACTTGCACAAGCGCCAGTTTGTGCGATCAGGGAAGGCTGAGGGCTACGATCAACGCGAATGGTCGTGACATATGCAGGAAGACGGGAAAGCTCCTAATGTCCTAGTAAATGTCAGGGAGTTCACCTCCAACCCCCCCCGCGAATCTGAGTTTCTCTGAAACATCATACACGCCCAAAATAGGCAAAAGCCATACCTCGCCACTGCGCAAACTCAGGGCTAGAAACACTGCTGGCACGACCGCTTCTCAAAAATCTCCGACATATACCAGGACGATGAGCTGGTGCAAATGGTGCAAGCAACCACCGGTAAACACATTGCGGCTGAAGCCACATCGATTGCCACAAGTAGAAGCCGATGACGCCAATCCCATCTGGGGATCGAGTGTTCAGTACAAAGTTCTGAAACTCCTGCAGCATCAAACTCGCAAGACTGCGACAGCGTAAAGACATGTAAAGACAGGATACGGCAGGATGAGGGCTTGTCTGAAGCCACTCCGGGCCTGCTGCGTCGTGTGGCGTTCGAGATAACCTCAGCACTCAAGATGCGCCCACTTCAAGCACTGTCTGCTTTCGGAAGCTACATTTCTCTAGGCAGCTGAGGTCCCGGAAAATGCTGGAATTCACCAAGCGTCATCAGTGTCTTGTCCATCAACATCATCATCATCATCATCAGCAGCAGCACCATCGCTATCACTACCCCGGCTGCATCCCTGTCAGTCTGCGCGGCATGACCCGACGCGCTTCCAGAACTTCCGCAACAGCAGGCTGACTCGATCCACCACAGCAAGACTGTAGGGTTCGAAATACTCTCGTTTAAAAACTGACCATTGAACGACATCAGCATCATTGTCGTCAACATCGTAGTTCGGGAGACGGTTGCCCATTTCGACGACCGATGGTGCCACAAGCACAAGCGCACAACCCTGTTTGTGGCCCGCGTTATCAGATGTGGGAAGACTGATGCAAGACTGTTATAACGAAGAGAGCATCCAGCATCGTCGATCGTCCACCAAGCCAGCCCACTGAAAGAGCATTCACTGTGTGCGAAGAGCTGCAACTAGGTGGCCCATTGGCTGAAACGGATTCGGACCAAAAGTTGGTCGGCGGAAGTCATATGCCTCCCACAGGCGGCAAAGACTGCAAGAGCTCAGACTTCGAGTGTACTGCATGTGTGTGTATGTGTATATATATATATAATTAACATACATGTATGTACATCTGTGCTTGTGTGCAGGCGGGCTTCCGTATGCATGCGTCGGTGACGATCTACTCCTAGTTGTACTACAACTTAGTCACGTATCTAGTTTACACGAGAAGAATTCGTCTGCGTATCTGAGCAGTTCATGGTACGGGCTTTGTGTGGCAATCCATGTTTTGCAATGATCCATGCATACAAATGGGTAAACCGAAGCCGTTCGATACTATGAGGGTGTACCATCAGTGTAAGCACACGATGCTTGCCAACTAGCCAGTTGATTAACAAACGAAGCAAACAACTAACCGAGTAACCAAAACTTTCTGCTATGTGAGCAGTTAGTAGATATGAATTGCATATCCTCAACGAGTATAATATTCATGCACAGCCGGGTCAACAACAGGTGCAGTTTTGGGACACAGGGCTTTGGTCAAGCTGTGCCTTGGAGGGGCAATGGAGGATGACTAGTAGTGGCTCCATCGTTCTGGTGTAGCTGCACTGAAGGCTGCACCGCTGCGAGTTCTAGAACGAGGCTGGGTGAGAGAGAGAGAGAGAGAGAGAGAGAGAGAGGGAGAGATTTAGGGCATCTGAGGAGAAGGCTCTGCGAACACTCTGTGGCTCTTAGGCTTCATGGTTTCCTGAAAGAAGCTGTGTGACACACTTCTCGATCGCCCGAGCCCACGAGTGCCCCTGAGAAGCAATCTTCCAATGCTGATTTGGGCCGGCCTTGGTCGGGCACTCGTTGGCCCAGGCCACGTACCAGGCACAGGGATTCCTCATCAACACCTGGAGCATCTCAACGGAGCGAGAGAGAGAGAGAGGAAGAGAGAGAGATAGAGTGTGGGGATGGCACCAGGCCACTTCAAGCCACGGCACTGCTACGAAGTGGAACTTTGTGGCGTTCGGAGGCAAGATGTTGTCGTCGTCGATGTATTGGAGATGTGTCTTTGCTTCGCAGCAGTGGCCATGAACCCCCACGGTTTGAAATCTAGTGGTCGGGGTCCTCCGTGTACACCTGGCTAAGCCTGTTACAACAAGCTCTTCTGTAGGCAGCTCATGTATGCAATGAGCGTCCGCTTAGCCAAAGATCGAGTGTTTGGTTCTAGAGCCCAGCCAAGTGGCTCGATTCTTGAAAACTGCTTTGAGCAGCACGCGAGAGAAGGTTCCTCCGGCCTGACGGCACTGCGATCTCAGTTAGCTTGTTGACTTGCAAAGACAAATCTGCCTCTCGAACGTGTTGTATTTGGTGTGAATACCGTTCTCACGATGAAAACCACGATGACTTGTGCGAGTGAGCTTGCAAAACAAGTTACATGCAAAATAGCAGCAGTAAGGGGTCGACTCAATTTGCAGTTGCCCGTGCTTGGTGGCCTTGCTGTTGTGCTTCAAGATGAACGTCGGCGTCTTGCCGTCAACCCACTGAATCTTTGGATCTCCTGTACAGAGGCAGGTCACATCTGTCTTCTCAGATTCTCACGGGCTTGACATGGCTTGGCTACACTAACAAAAGATAAACCAAGCTTAGCAGCTTGGCACATGTCCATCATGTCCTGCCTTACAAAGCTAACATTGCGGAGCCTGTGCCTTTGATTCACACGTCGAAACCGGAGAGCCGTCCTGGAAAGACATTTTGTGGTCTCTGGCTGCCTTCCAGGATCTCAGCCTCCATGGCCCAGGACGGCTCTCGAGTATGTTTCGTCTTGGGAGGACCTCTTGCTCGAAAGAGCCAAACACCAGCCCCCCCAATGCAAGATATCCGAAAGGCAGACGCTTGATCTCACAGTTGCAGTGTCTGGACCGTCTGCTGAATACTGACACCTTCACACAGCACACACACACACACCTCGGAGAATCGCAGGGTCGCGCCTCCTTCCAACGTGATAGCAGTGCCACGGAAGTTCCCACCAGAAGCCCGAGAGCAATCGGCGGCCAGCGCAGACGGCAGAAGGAGCGCCAGGCTGGCGACGACGAGACCATGCGTGGAGACCATGGGGGAACAAGATGCAATACTTGGGCCGCTACACAATCTTTTCGCCAGCACACACGCACAGGAATTGATTCGCAGCTTGCCGTTCGAATGATGCTACGGCGAGCATTCGGCCCGAACCTGCCTGCTTTCGGCTTAGACCGATCTTTGCGACGGAAGGGTTCTGGATTCCGGACCTGGGACCCAACGAGGCTGAGGCCAGAGCCTGAGCTGCTCTCGATGACGGGTGCCGGGCATCTGGGCTTGGCTCGATACCTGTCTCGCCAAGGTCCTTCGGCGTCACAGTCTGAGCAATGTCTGCTGGCCCCTGGCCTTTTCAAAACATGTCTTAGTCTGTGGGCATTGGCAAAATGTGTCAGTGTTTGATGTTCACGTGTCGCCCTCTTCCATTTCCGAGTATTGCAGTCACCAGTCAGCACGACTGAGCCGACCCAAGACCCGATTCTGGCAACACCTGGGACCTGTTTGCCAGGGCAGCGATGCTTGCGAGCTTGTGGCTTTGCTTTTTCGTTTGGAGACGATTGGAAACCTGTGGGTGGGTGGGTACAGAACCCCATGAACGGAGTTTGACACGAAGTCTGCACTGGTTCTAGCAATCTCTGGCACATGTCCTGCCAGAGCCCAGAAGGATCCATCCGAGTTGAGTGAAGCGCAGACTAAAACATCTTTGTCGGTAAGTATTCTTGCCCACGGAGACTGTCGGACTTGACGTGGGAATAGGGGATCGGGCCGATTTGTTGGCCGAAATCTGTGCAAGGGTCCTCCGACCACTTTAGCAGCGTGTCTGCCACCCCAAGCTCCTCGCAGCACTGAGAAGTGCGACACGAACAGACCCTCTGGCCCTCGAGCGGGAGCGAGTCACACCTTCTTTCAAGACTCGTCGGGCTCAAAGGTGCCTGCAGGATCACAGGGGCTTCCCAGGACTTCTCGCCGGTGGACATGTTCCAGAAGAAAGGCCTCTGAGCCCAAGAAGTCAATTGCTGTGTTTGAGCCACGGTCGAAACACTTTCCGGCCTGGCTTTCGGCTTCTTCTCACGGAAGACGACCCACTCGCCCATCTCGGCGATGCTCTGAAGCCTTGAACCAGGAATCTTGAAACTACAAGCATTTCGACACAAAGCGTGGGCTGCAAAAACACTAGACATGTTGAAACACTTTGAAGCTTAGGTTTTCAGGGCACCCATAAAATACCCAGCACGAGCACGACGGATTCCATGCATGCTGCAAGCACGAGCACTCCATTCTCGAATGAAAAGGTGAACTCTTGTCTCAATTGGGGCCAGGCCCAACGAACTCGCCTTCGCGCGCCCCAGGGACAACCTCCATCCGCGGATGCACCCGCAGGATAATGCGGCATCGTAAGGGACTCACGCCGAGAGCTGGTTCAGGGCTGCCTCCGGAAAATCAGACTCGGCGCTGGGCACCTGGCTGTCACCTTGGACGGCTCTGCATTGTTCGCATATGGCTGTGTGGAGTCGTGGATAAGCGATGCCGCAAGCTGAGGCAGTGGGCTGGGCCAAAAGACTGGATAGGACCATCCTCGCTCCAGCACTCCAGGAAAAAAGACAGATGAAAGCTGTGCGGTTTTCATGATATATCACGCAGACTCCCCAGTGTTGTGGCAACCTGGCATTCAGGTATGTTCTAGTCACATTTGCAGTCGGCTGATCATGAGGATCCCAATCTGTCCTAGGATTGCTCCATGGGAGGTTTGTCATGCCAGGCCTGGATCCTGAAAGTGGTCGAGCTGTTCGCCATGTTCCGGATATCCGAAGACCGCCTCGGCCTCACATTGCATCGCAGAAGAAGTAGCCAAGAGCCTCTTGAATCCTGGCCTCCATGTAGAGGTCCGGCGCTTCGTTGGGATACTTGGAGACCTCAAGCTGAGGTACCTGCGACAAGCTGTTCTTGCTGCCTCTCACGACTCCAATCCCTGTCGATCCAGAGCTCACTTACCACCACGGTCCCCTTGCCAACCAAGCCAGCCAAGGCACAAATGCCGGCGCTTCGGCATTGATGGCTGATCCTTCAAGCACCAAGAACTTTGCAAATCAGACATCAACAGAATTCAACCAAAAAGTCGTGTTCGCTGCCCTCAGCACCGCGCGGCTAGGCTTGAGCTCTGTTGCGAAGGGAGTGAACTCCTTGGCGTGGGCACTCAGGCCCGTCCTGTGAAAGCTGTAACTGTGACGAAACTACCGCGAGTGATGCTCCGATGCCAACAGCAAGCGGTGGACCTCCCGTTGCTCTCCTCCTGGCCGCATGTCGGCTCAGCTTTTGCATTTTATACATGTCAAGCATATCGTGATTTATGGCTGGGATGCAGATCCCACGATACCGAAAGAAATGCCGAAGCGGCCCCAGTGCCTTCACAATGGCACTCTTCTTGATCCACACCTTTCCTTTGCCTGGCAGCACAATGGTCGCACGAGCCAAGGAACGTGTCTGCTCGTACAGAAGGCTTCCAGCATCGAAGTGGCCTGATGCCAAGCCGAAGGAGTGTCTGACAGGATGATGGAGAAAACCCAGACCAGCATGTTGCCCCTTCGGGGCTTTTCCGGGCAACGTGGCACCCCTGGAAGACTGCACAGGACATCCGAGCACAACAATCACGGCAAAGGCGACAAAACTCGTCCCAAAGACTATCGTAGGAGCAAGCTCACCCTGAAGCCAGAACCCAATACCCTGTCCGACATGACAGAGGTTGGTGCGCAGCGTGAAACCTAACAGGGTGACGACGTCCCCGAATCAGAATTCGGGCTTCAGCTGTGAGCACTGGCCGGCGTCCACAACTGGGAAAGTGCACTAGTCAACATGTTGCGGGCACCGTCACCGTCTGAAGGCTGCACGCCCTCTGATTTGCCTTAGTACATTAGTTCATGCAGAGTCCGAGGATTCGGATTGCTTGATTAATCGTGCAGTGACGGCACTAGACGGAGACCTTGAGCTGCCTTAGAGAAATGGTCGTTCTATAGTTTTCACAACTAAGCTGGTGGCCTCTGATCTGCAAAACTGCACTGTCGCCGCCTGGCCACACAGACAGACACACACACATACACGCCCAGATCTGGAACTTCTCAGCTAAGGGCACCAGGCTTCGACAGAAAAGAAAGCTGACAGTTCGTTCTTATCATTATCAACACAACCTGGCGTGTATTCAAAACACGACGGAGGAAAACCCCGGGAAGGCCATAAATCCGGCCTTTGTCCGGCGGAAGGCCGGCGCTTTTGCCCTTTCCTGCTCCATCTTACTGCATGTCCCGTGCATACGAACATGATTAAATTAGTAACCGTTTCATCTCCTACGGCTCCCTGCTCCGCCTTGGCCTTTCTCCGTGCTCTTGGCCGTTGCCGGGCCTCCCGAAGGCTCCGAGAGTCCTAGACTGGCTGAACAGCTCTGTCAAGCACCACCTGTGGTTGCTGGCAATCTGGAGACCGAATCCACGACAAATCGTGCGATGTTGCCGTGTAGGCCAGTTGACTTACTTAGACTTCGTGCGCCCTTCAGTTGCCCCACCTCCTTCAGAAGGCACATTCTCCTCCTTGCGAGATTTGCCTCAGTAGCGGTTGATAGACACCATATGTAGTTCATAAGATGCAGAGCATGGGCCACGAAGGAGACTGTCAACAAAATCTCAGTCACGCTCCGTGTTGTTTGCTTTGTGCCTGGCAGACAGCTCGTCGCCGTGTTGAGTGCTCGGTGATCACAGACGACACCCCGACAAATCGTAATGTTGTTAGTGTTATTTTGACTCTGATCATGATGGCTATGACTATGTATTGTCATATTATATGCATGGTGCTTCGAAGTAATTATCTATCTGCGCGGTGCGCTTTTCGTGTTGAAAACGAGACTTGAAAAGTGCCAGCCGCCGATGGAAAGGTGGGCAGGCTGGACTGACATGCCGTTTCTCAAACAGCTCAGAAACGACTTGGTTGCACGGCGCAATCTGCTACATGATTTTTACACTGGCTCATTCGCGCTGCGGCAGGAGCATGCCCAAGTCTGTCGAACTGGCAAAGTGTGGCAAACTTCTTCCTGTGGCACCAGCCGCTTCAATCTTTCCATCCACGATGTTCTGTGGTCTTGCACGTGCGGCCTCCCCAGATTTGCACCTGCCACTCCTTCTCCGCCTGCATTGCATCAGCCGGCTCGCAGAAGGTTCCGGAGCGCGCTTTGGAGAACACCCAGCCGCAGCCGCCAAACAGCAACAAGACGGTCGTGCCGTAAAGGCCAGGTCTTTCCTCTGAGACCTCAAACACCATCCGATGTAGATATGTAGATATGTAGATAGACAGATAGATAGACAAACGGATAGATAGGTAGATAGGTAGATAGGTAGGTAGGTAGGTAGGTAGGTATAGGTAGGTATAGGTAGGTATAGGTAGGTATACGTAGGTATACGTAGGTATACGTAGGTATACGTAGGTATAGGTAGGTATAGGTAGGTA